TATTTTTTTGAACATAAATCCCCAAACAGTTTCCCTTAACATTCTTCACATCTGTGCAACAATTAAGTCTTGACATTTTTGTTTTTCACTCTGTCCATCTTGGGCTTTTAAAATTTTTGCTTATTTCTGTTTATTTTTTGCATCACTCCCTTCATGTTTGCTACATCTGGAGGACACAAACCCAGCATCAGCGGTTACAATTAAACCTTGTGCAGCAGGATGGTGTGAAGGAGCACTGAGAGGAGATTTAGGCCTCCAAAACCCTGGTCACATCCCCAGATGAGATGTTTATTGGCACAGGCTGCCCATGGAAGCAGTGGAGTCATTGTCCCTTGGAGGTGTTCAAGAAACTTGGAGATGTGGCACTGAGAAACATGGTTAGGGGGCATGGTGGGGGTGGGTTGGGGTTGGACTAGATTACTTTGGAGGTCTTTTCCAGCCTTAATGATTCTATGATTTTATGATTTAGGCTCAGGGATGCATGTTCAATGTCTTCAGCTCAGATACCTGGAAGATGTAGTTGCTCACAGATGATTCTGTTGGCTTGATCAGTTTTTTTCTCACTTACAGCGATTCCAATGGCTCCAAGGGGATTACTGCTGTAATAGCCAGATGTAAAAGGAAGGCAAAATCAAATCCTTCATATATCAGTGTCAGGCCAACTTCAAGCAAGCCCATGCTGAGTGATATAAAGGATAAGGGGCCTGAGGAAGGATGTGTTTATGGAGAACATTTGGAAACTTTAACTACTTGTAGCTAGACCAAGCACTGAGTAAGGAAGCTGCCTGCAAATGTTTAAGAGGGAAAAAAGTACAGAGCATAAAGTAAATTGCTCACAGTGATACAAAGGGATATGAGAAAGAAGAATGAGATCCATTCAAAGAAAGCAGAAGGATCATAGCTCTTCCAGAAAAAAAGGCAACCTGATCTCCCATGGGGTTTTTATACCATATTCTTCATCCAGAACACCTTCTGGGTGTGTGGAAATGGTTTGCTGTGGGCATTAGGGGGAAAGTAAGAAAATCTTGCTGGAGGAGAATACGTTTTGTACTTCTACTAAGAGAAGTTAGAGCTTCCCCTGAAACTACAGCCCCTGAGGAAGTGGAGAGCAATATAACCTCCAAGCATCACATTTGGTTGACAGGACTCTGAACATCATTTCATCACTTTTTCTTCTATGCCAGACCATGGTGTCCATATAAAATTTAATCTTCTGCATATAACGGGCCATTTCATTTCCTTGCAACACTGTTTAAAACAAAGCTTATTCTAAGGGAATAAGCATATATGTGGGGAGAAGTGTCATTTTTGAATAAGAAAAAAATATAGTTTTCATGACCATATAATCCCAGTCCATCTTTCCTTCTGCATGTACCTCTTCTCTGAATATATCTAAGTTACTGACAGACCTTAGCTACCACATATAGAGCAGATGATGATTCAACTCTCAGAAAACATTGCTTTCTTCATAAAACACACTTCATCTTTAACTATGAGAATTTATCTGTAGATCCAAGTGGCTTAGCACAGCGGCTATGACAAAACTCATCTCAGTTTCTGGGGTCTGAAGAGTCTCACCTGAGCAGCCAAGTAGAAGGTCCAGAACTTTGGGGTGATCTCCAAAACCTGAGGGTAAAAGCATCTATGGAGCTGTGGAAGTCCATAGATTATCTGTAGTTACACAACATAGTTATAGTTAAATAACTATACAGATATCTGTATAAGGTGGTGCCATGTTTCTTGGCTTGCCCAGTGTGCAGATGGGAAGCTGTGTGCTGGGCTCCTTGGTTGCTCATCTGGGACATTCTCCACGCAATTGATAACCAGAGAGGGTTAGGTTTAGGTCACGAGAATGCTCTTAATGCTGACTGTGCCCTTCCTTTCCTCACCTTCTTGTGCTCGTCAGCTGTGCCCCATTCCATGGACCCTCCATGCCATGGACCTGTGCCACCAAATGTTATGCTCCATCAAAACATCAGTGCCAGCCCAAGTAGCCTTAGTGGCCCTAGCCCAAAGATACTTGAATAAACACAGCAGCCCATGTGCTGGCCCATTTCATTGACCTGTCCTGCAGTTTGAAGAAATCCCCAAACAGCAGGTGAGGAATTACAACCCAGAGCAGATGTGGGTCTCCCATATTTTCTGTCAGAAAAAAAAAGAAAGAGAGGCAAAATAGCTGAGATGGAAAGTGAAGAAAAAATGGGGATCTGTAACGATGGAGGTGAGCAGCACCTGGGAGAAAAGAAGCAAGAAAGCTGGAAAAACACCAAGCCACAACTTCAGAGACAGAAGGAAAGTCATTATGGGGATGCACATTCACTAGACCATCACAAGCCTGGACAACCACGTTCTAGCAACAAGGCTTTGGGGACAAGTGGGATACAGATGGACTGTTAGCTGCTCCTTGAGCCATGTGGAGAAACATCCTTGGTTGCTTAGCATTTGGGTCTGTTTGCCTCCACTTTTCCCACAGCTGACTGTGGGGTGCGGGAGCAAAGCGGGGCTGTTGAATTTCAGCCAATCAATCATCCTGCAAAATACAGCCAGCCCAGAAAAACAGAGCTCGGCATGTTTCCTTATTTAGGTGGAAGTGTTGGGAAAATGGCATGAGATTTTGTTTCTGATAAAGTAGGAGCTGTTTCAGGAATATTAATTATTTTTGTTGTATCAGTGTTTTACATTTATTTCTCTACAGCTGTATAGTGAAAAAGATGGATGAAGCTTGTGGCCTGGTTTCAGACTGTCTTTGGGGCACTCCCAAAGCTCTGAACAAGAAAGTAAGAAATATACAGACATCTGGGAGTCAGTAGGGGTGGTTCCCTGGTTGTTTTAGCCTGGGGTTTGTAAACTGTGGGCTTTCTTCCCTGTCTCTTTACAGCGAATGTCCCTTTACAGCATTTGTTGTGGTCAGATCCTTAAAAAGTTTCTGGATGCCCAAAGATGAAGGCCTAAGGGGAATCTTCAGGTACATGGATGCTTTTGAAAATCTTGTGGTCTACCTATACTGCATCTCTCAGAACGTCCCAATGGGAAAGGCTGCAGGAGGCATTCTGCTGTTTTATTGATTGTAGGATCACACAACCATAGAATGGCTTGGGTTGGAAGGGACCTCAGAGATCTTCTAGTTCCAACCCCCTGCCTTGGGCAGAGTTGCCACGCACTAAATCAGGCACTAGACAGGTTGGGATGCACTGGGAGACCAGGAGATGTGAGAACACATGAAACTTTTCAATAAGAAAATGAGGACATAGGAGTGGATTCATCCATAGTTACTTTTCCTCCAAGCTGAAAATGCTTTAGACTTCAGTGTGCATGGGAACAGAATGTTGTGTAAATATTTTAGGACCAGATAATAAATGGTGATGTCCTTGGGACAAAAACCTTGCCTCCTTCACAGTAAAATGGCCAGGAAATGTTACCAAGAAGTGTTCAACAGATCATCCTCTAGTTGCAGATCTCATCTTGTGCAACTTAAAACAACTTTGTCAGGACCCATGGCACAAACACAACCATGTAGGTCAAGTCCTGGAGGTTTGACTCAGTCAACGCTGCTTTGAAGTCAATGAGGCTGAAGTTATTGCCTGACATGAGGAGCAGTCCATCTGGGATTTCTCATATGATGAACTTCAATAATAAAAATGATGGTAAAAATATGTAAAATAAATAAAAATGATATTGTCAGCCACTTTGTTTGTTTCTGACTCAGGGGGTTTATATGTTTAGTCTTGAGTGTTTTTCACATTGATTATGTATATCCAGATTTAATGCTGTCTGGAACCGCTGAGTAAAGGCATTTAGTAACAACAATAACAGAGGGTGTGATTTCATAATCCTAACAAAACAGATAAGGTGGGTTTGGGCTCTTTCCCTGCCTGGCTGTAGGGATTCTCTGGCTGCAAACCACATTGGGCACTGAGATAGCTTTATCTTGGCAGAGGCCTTTGTGCTGGAGCACAGCAAATGAGATCTGGTAAATCTGAGAGACCTGATAGCAGCCTTTCAATATCTAAAGGGGGCCTATAAGAAAGAAGGGGACAGGGCTCTTCAGCAGGGTCTCTTGTGGTGGGACAAGAGGAAATGGTTTCAAACTAAAAGAGGGGAGATGTAAGATAGATAGAAGGAATAGGGCTTTTAGAGTGGGGGTAGTGAGGGACGGGCACAGGTTGCCCAGAGATGTGGTGGGTGCCCAATCCCTGCGGACATTCAAGGTCAGGCTGGATGGGGCTCTGAGCACCTGATGGAGCTGTAGGTGTCCCTGGTCACTGCAGGAGAGTTGAACTAGATGGCCTTTAGGAACCTCTTCCAGCTTAAAAGGTTCTAAGATTCTAAATAATGTCAACGACGTTTCTCTCTCCAAACTCAAAAGGGGAGCTGTTCAGGCAACACAGGTTTAGGAAACCACCAGTACTGCCCACTGAGCTGTGTCCCTCAGTGCCACACCTCCACGGTTCTTGAATAGCTTCAGTGAGTGACCCCCTCCCCCCCCACCTCTTTGGGCAGCCAGTGATAATGCATCACCACACTCGGAGAAGGAGTTTTTTTTTTTTCCTAATATACAACCCGAAATGTTAGGAGCAGAATTGTAGCAGCTCATCTCAAGAAAAGACATCCCAACAGCCTATTTTCCAGCTCGTTTGAACTCTTCCCGAGACGAACCGTACCCGAGCGCTGAGTTGGACACGCAACATATGGGCGCACGTGGCCCAACGTCCCCCCGCCGCTTCCCTGCTGCCCCTATGGGGCTGCCCACCCGCGGTGCCCGTGGCGGTTGCGCACAGTGGGGCCGCGGGGATGCGCGGGGCCGGGAGGGAACTCGGAAGCTCCGGGACGTGGTTCGGGGACCGCGGGGCACTCGCCTCGCCGCTAAGGGTTAAGGGGAGCGGCGGGGAGGGCGGGGGCTGCCGGGGATTGGAGCGAAGTTTGGAGCTGGGCGGTGCCGGGCCGCCCTCCTCGGCTCGGCCCCCGCCGCCACAAAGCCCTGCAGGGAAAGTTGCTCGATCGCCCGTTTCTCTTCGCCCCCCCTTCCCCTCCCCCTTTTCCTCCTTCTCGCCCCGACTCCCCAACCCCTTTCCCCTCCTCCCATCTCTCCTTAAACGGGATTCCGGCTCGGGACGGCACCACCGGGCATCCCGCGGCGGCAGCCCCCGGGGCTCCGGCAGGTCCCCGCTGTCCCTCCTCGCACGCACACACATACACTCACCCCACCACGAGAAGCAGTGAGAATTATAACCCCCCTCCTCCCCACCCCGTCCCCCGCTTCTCTCCCTTTAACCCCTCTCATCGGTGTGGCAAAACGATCCGGGGGTGCCGTGTCCCCTCGGCAGGGCTCAACCCAAAGCAGCCCCCGGTCCCGGGGGGGTACGATGAGGTAGAGGGCGGCGGCGGAGCGCCCGGCCGGGGGCCGCGGCAGGAGGGCATGAAACGGAGAGCTGCGGGGATGGGAGTTAGCGCTCGCTGCTGAGAGCCGGCAGCGGCCAAGGTAAGTGGGGACCCCCCCCATGGAGCAGGGTGGGTTGGGATGTCCCCACCTGGGCTACGGGCACACCTGGCGGCATCATTCCCCGTGCGCCCCCGGCTCCTAATTTTTGCTTCTAACACTCTTTCCCTCTTGCCCCCTCACCCCTCCTCCCCGTAACCCTTCTCTAAGAGCTCCCTATGGTGCAGGCAATGGTTGGATGCGGTGCGTTGTGCATCCCGGGGGCACTGAGGTGTCTCAGCGAGAGCTTCACGAGGGTGAGGAATTCAGACAGTGCTTAGAAAGTGAGAGTGTGAGGAGGGGAGCGGGGCGTAACGAGCGTCAAGCCGATCTGCCCCGGCGTATCGCTGCGAGGGCATCGCCCGAAGGTGGTGGGTTTCATGGACTTTGGCTTTGGGACACACCTCTGGTACTCAAGGAAATTAGTGGGGGGGGGTTGGAAAATAGGAAAGCGATGCTTAGAAAGCGATGATCCGTGCTGGAGGAGCGCGTGTTCCCGGGGCAAAGCGGGGCCGGTGGACGGAGTCTGTTGGGCTGTGGAGGCAGCGCTCCCCCTCTCTCTCATCCGAGTTCCTCCGCAAATTGTTAACCTGAAATCTTGGTTTACGGCCGCTTTTGCTCGCGTTTTGTTTGCCTTCCAGACTGGTTCTGTGCGGGATACCGGAGAATTATGCATTAACTGTAAACTTAGAGCAGCGTGCTGGCCTCAGTGGGTCCCTGATTTATATCACGCTGAAGCAGAGTGGAGGGCAAAGTTTTGCTTGCTGAGCGCCAAGGAATGAATTACAAACACGCTGCTGTTGCATTTACTCTTCCTGCTCTTGCGCTTCTGCAACAACCCTTAAAACTGTACAAACTTGTGGGCTGTTTGCTCATTCCCCCCCCGTAATCGCTCCGCTCCCTTTCCTGCAGCTCCGAGGACGGCAGCTCGTACAGCTCACAGGGATCCGCTTTTCACCATGGGATTGCAGCTGGCGCTCCTGCTCGCAGGGATCGTCGCACTCTCGGACACAGCGAGAGGTAAGGACCGAGCAGCTCGAGCCCTCCTGCTTGCTGCCCTGCCGTGCACACGTGCTCCATTGCTGCCTCTTGGTGCTGCTGGGCGCAGCGTGGATTTGGTGCTGTGGTCGCAGGTGGACTCGCATGAGACTTTTCTCATGCATCCCATTTGATTTTAAAGGAAAGCAGCTGCATTCCTCCGTGGATCAGAAATACCTCTCCCCTCTTGTAATCCCCCCCAGCCCCTGCGCCGTATATTCCCACCAGCAAATGTAACAAACGCATCCATTAACCTTCCTGGTGACAGACAAATGACAACTCCTGATAGTGAGAACATTTAAGAACTGGGGCTGTGGCAGTCGGTCGGGTTTCAATGCACAGGTTACCAAATGCATTGACCTGGGAGTGGGAAGGTGCCTTAACTCGAGTGTGGGGTCAGAGCAGAGAAGGCTGCCTTTTTCCCTGCCCCGTACCTTGGTGGGTGCTGTCTGAATGGGAAACCACCGCTGACAAAGGAGGGGTTGCATTGTTCCAGCAGAATGGGTGCGTGGCTTTAGGATGTAGATGGCTTCAGCTGCATGTCCCAAGAGGATTGGAGTTGTGCAGATGAGTATTGGAGTTGAGTGAATGAGTACTGGAGTTGCATGAATTGGTGAAAGAGCTTTAAATCACCTGATGCAATGAAAAGATCTTAAAACTTGTGCTTCATTGGGGCCATAATTTGCCAAAAATAAAACCAAAGGGATGGGGAGGGAGCATTGCTCTACAAACCCAAGGCTCAAATTAGTGCTTTGCTTTTTTTTCCATCTTCGTGTTGGCTCCCAAGCAAATACTTTATGGAGGCAGAAGCACTATAAAATGATCAGCTGGAAGCTGAATGAAAAAGAAAACAGTGCATATAGGCTCAGAGCCCTGCAGACTGAGTTCCCAGCCAGGTCTATAATGTAGACTCCGTTGAAGTTGTAGGCAGTGGCGTATGAAATAAGAACGGCCTCATGGATGTAGGTTATTGCCATAGACCTGAGGAGCTGGTGGAGTTCCGAAAAAAATCTGAAGTGGGCAGAAGAAGACAAAAGGAGTTTTGTCTCTGTTGTGAGCAGAGTGTCGGCTGCTTTCCTGGCAGCCCGTTTCAATGCTGTTTGCACTTGTCTTGCTCGTATTCTTTTATTGCCTCTGGAAAACGTGGTGCGATTGACTGCGGGCTGCTGTCGTGTGAAGAAGAGCCAGATAATTAACAGCGTTAATTTCAGAACATCGTTGTTTTTCCTATGGAAAAGGTTTTTATTTTTAAGGCAACATTAACAGGGTCACAATAGTGATTGGGTTTGTTGAACTCGTTCTATTCAGAGCTGGAAAAACCATCTTGTGTGTGGATGGAGAGTTGGTGTGGGTTGTTTAAAATGAAATAGAGTATAAATCCAGGGCCAAACCCGTGAAAAACGTCATTCACTCGTTGTTTGTAATGAGGGAGGAAGAGAAGAAAGAAGTGTAAATGTGGTAAAAACAGAGCCATGGCCCTACCATTACAATCCTGCTCTGCCTCTCTTTGAAACTGAGAGTATTCAGAGGGCGATGGGTGCAGATGAAGGATCAAACGTGCACATGAGCAGAGGTGGCACATCTCTGACACATTGCAGCCGCATTTTGGTCAGGCGATCATCACTGATCATTGGTTGTTTACTTTGGGATAACTTCAGATTCTTGTAAAAACGTGTCCTACCATGAATGTGCCCACAGATTTTTTCCAAATGTATCATGTGGTGCATTTGGTGGTGGGTAGGTGTCACCTGCTTGAGTCTATCGATCGTTTTCTAGCCTGAGATTTTTATTTGGAGGGAGATGAGCTCTTTGTTTTGGCCAAACAGCCTTTAGTAGCCCTGTCCCAATTGCAAATTTTACATGCATGGCACAAAGTGTGCCAGCGTTTCCTAACTTGAGTTGTCAAGATGTGCTCAGGTGAGGAAGGTGGCTGAGAAGGCTCTGATCGAAAGCATTGGCCCTTCTCTTTTATTAGGCAAGAGGAGATTTTAGTGGAATTAGGATGTTGTTTGTGTGCACTGCATTGGGTAAGGGCTGTACCAAAGTGCATTTGCACAAGGGGGCAGAGGTAAGTTGCCCACGCAACGCAGCCTTGCTGTTTCCTGGCAGCTCATCTGCAATCTTGCATTAATGTTGCCTTACAGTATTTTTACCTCCTTATTTAGGTGGTGCCTTTTAAGGTGAAGGAACCCACAGGGCTGCCTGATAGGGCCAATGCTGCAGCTTTTTCCCAGGTTGGGAGCTGTGCCCTCTGGCTCTGTCACTTCTTGCACACTTGCGACCTGTTGTGTCTCATCAACCCACACACAAAATAGCGAAATAGGGGATTTCTTAGGTAAGCAATATAAACTCTTAAGAAAGCAGCAAGATAAGTATCAAGAGCAGGGCTTTATTTTAGAGGATCGGGTGTGGAACTTATTCTGTCTGAAAGGATGAAGGATGAGGTAGTTTTGTCGAGGTCTGAACCCATATTTTCCAGTACTGAAATTTAAAGACTTTGGCTAGGGGCTTGTCTACACTGGAATAACCCTTCCAAAACAGTTGATCTGGAATAAATGCCCCAGAAACCAATCTTAATCCAGTCTGAGGACCCTCTGGAAGGAGCTTGTACTCAGTGGTTGCTCCCTGGGAGCTGTTTGGGTGAACCTCCACACTCCTCCGTTCCCTACTGGGTGAACACAGGAACTTCTGTGTGCACAAAACCCACCCTTTGAGCACATAACCTGCTCTCAGTGGGGGAATATCCCTCCTGGCTGGCAGCCGAGGCACAGGGTGACAGCTTCAGCCTTTCTGCCAGCAGCCCCAGCTACGTCAGCCCTTAACCTGGGAGAATGATGCAGGGCCAGTGGCTCGTCCCTCATGTCGCTCCGTTCCCTGCCCTCTGCACAGCCCTATACTGGGCATAAAAGCCCTCCTCCGCGGGGATGAATGCCATCTTGGGTCACTAACCCTTGGTGACTATGTCCTGCAGCAATGTGGCTCCAACCACTCCACACCTCCGGTCGGATACAGGTAATACAATCTGATATTTTCCCGCTGGTGTTAACTCAGTGACACACGACGCAATATTTGTTCCAAATCTGTCAAGTTGCCATCCGATTCACTTTGGTTACCGTATATGGTCACATTGGGATGTGCCTGGCTTGGTCCCGTGGCTTAAGCAAGATTTTGTACGGTATGTTTGGAAGTTTTTGGTAAGAGCAGTGACAACCTTCCTGTTAGCGAGTAAACTGATATTCTGCTGGAAACTAATTAGTTTGGATGTTGATTTCATTTTCGGTGCCTTGCGTAGGGAGGGGAAGAGCGGGACCTTAATTACTTTCTACTCTTGCACTTCTCTCTGCGCCACTTGGCTTCCAAGTTCTGGTTGGTTCCTGCTTTATGGGGAATGTGTTGGGACTATGTTAAAACTCAACAGTTTGGTGCAGAAATAATGCTGTTTGCCTTTTTTGCTGAGCATTGGAGAAAAGGGAATGGGATACTAGAAAGTTTGTGGTCGCGTTTATTATTATTGTTATTCCTTGGAAGCTGAGTACTTGATATATCAACCACAAAGTTAGGGAAGGTTAAATAAGAGTGAACGGTATTTAATGCGGATAAGATAATGATAATATAAGAGATGGCTGTTGGCTGCTGTTTACAGTCTCCTTTATTCCTGCCTCAGTGTTGTTATCAGGTATAACAATTGGGTAATTCTTCACTTGTGTAAGAGAAGCGCATTCAGATCCACAGTCTGATCCAAATTTTACGTAAGTCGCTGCAGATTTCCTGGTTAAGTTTGGTGTCTTTTTTTGGGCCATGCTCTTAGGGAGCTTGCTTGTGAATAATCTGTCATCACGACTTGTACTGAAAGCCAACAAGACAATCTACGAAAATCCTGGTTATTTTTTTAAGCTGTGGTTCCTCCCTTCTTCCAAGACCGTCGGTTTCTTTAAATTGTGGCTGAGTTTAAACATAAAGTACAGCATGTGTTGTACTGGAAAATTATATTTTTTTAATTTTTTTTTATTTTTTAAGGAATATTACAGAACTCAGCAAATGGCTCAAGTACATGTGGATTTTCCTTAACATTTTTATAACTTTGTTTTTGAAGTACATGTGCTGCTTTGACCTTCATTAAAGGACGCAAGCGGCAAATTCACATACGTCTGTTCTGTGATGCACCTGGAAGCAGCTCAGTTCCAAAGCCAGACTTTTGTCTACAGAAGAAAAATTTACATGCCATGAGGCTATACTTGAGAAAATACAGAAATAGCAGTTCTTTCATAAGAAAATATTGTTCAAAAAAAGCCAAAAAAGCAAAAGTGACACTTCTAGGATGTTGGTACCTACTTTTTTGCTGGTGAAGCTGATCATTCCTTTCCAGTGGGTGTATTGCTGTGCAATGGGTTGGGATTTGCTTGGCCACTGCCTTGACTGCATATTTTGGATTATTTACTGGAAAAAAGAAAATATTTCTACCAAAGTGGGAAAATAATAATACCGAAGTCTTCTGCCTATCTGAAATCAGAAAATAGAACAACAAAACCCTTTGGTCACAGCTTTGTTTACTCAGTGGGAGAGGAATCTGTGCAGCTTTCTGGTTTTTCTAAGATGTGAAACTCCTTCTTGTGTCCGCAGCAACCTGTAGAATTGTGCTGTTCAAAGGGACCGTGCAAACGTATCCCTGCATTACAAGTGTTGGTGGCAATGTTCCTTTCTCTTTCATTTCGTTAACCCCCCTCATTTTGTCTTGTTTCAAAGAGTTGGTCTTTCATCTGCCCTCTTCCTGTGTTTTCTGGTGAGCTGCTCAAGCTGAAATGCATTTGATCTTGTTTTGGGCATTTAATTTGTATTTCTATCCCTCTTCTTGCTCTCTGTAATCAGTCTTCCCTTGGAGCATTCTGTAATATAAGCACGCCTGTGTTTTTAGTTGGGTTGACCTGTCCTCATATTTTGCACCAAACTTTTTATGAATGCTTTTGTTCATAGAAGGGAACTTT